AGTTACCATCACCATATCCGACATACGGCTAGGAAAGGCACATAGCCACCAGGACTTGGTTGCGCCATAGCAACCCCCAAACCGTTGTTCTCGCTTGTCACCTTAATTAACGAGCATGGATGTAGACGACCGCATTTGTGACGTATACTTTTCTTTAATGAGGTTGCAGGACCTTGAAATAGTCTGAAACCATGTATTTTCCTTATTTCTCACTATCAAAAAGCCACCTCCAATAGTTATTTCATAGTCATCTACTGGGATTTCCTTGTATCCTACCATACGACTCCAACTAGATCGCGCAAAATGGGCCCTAGTCATCTCCATTGTGAGCAATAAGCCAAAGGAATTTTTAATCTTTCCAACTGCTGTGAACGGAATTAGATAAGCAGGAAATAAGGATAACGAGAGCGAGTGATCAACACCCTGAGAAGCGAAAAACGATGAGCAATGTTCTGCTGGATCCTATATACGTCTATCACGAAAAAGAGCATCACATACAGGGCCAGACTTGAGAGGAGCTGTATGGGTTGCGCCGACTACGTTGAACAAGCTGGTCTATATTTTTGGGAACTTGGCGCGCTTGGCGAATCAACAGATGGCTTTGGTCGAATGTCCATTGAGTCGAGTAAGGTCGTGGATACGATTCCCTTGGGCCGAGCAAATTTCCACCAATTTTTAAGCCGGGCAATCAACAGCGGTTGATTTGACTGCAGTGGCGTAGCAGAAATTGTTTACAAATTTTAACGTCCAGTATTAAAGTTCTAGGTCACTGGACCCTACTGGAAAACCATTGCCAAGGTTGCTTACGATCACAAAACCAGGGTTGTCAAAATGTCTTTGGTTAATGTTGTGATTACTGCTGCTTCAAGTTGATAACCAGACCGACTTATTTGGTTTTCGGTTGAACTGAGAAGCAGTCTTACACAAACTACTGACCATAGAAAAATTCCAGAAGCTGGATTAGGATATTCACCACACTGGACCGGATATCCGATAGAAGAACAACGGCACCATAATATATTTTCTACTTCGTCTAAGCACATCACAAAATGCTTTACTAAGAACCCCGTGAAATCAATTTACGTTCTGCATCACTCTGCCTGATACTGGCAAGTCATCAACATCATCATCGACAGTATGACATCAGCGTTTAACACCGATGCTTCACTGCCGTACAACCATGACTTATTTGAAAGCCTTATTGTGAAGAAAAGAATAAAGGTGGATGGGGGAGGGACTTAGTGCTACATTAACACAATCATTCCGAGGTGCCTACACCTCCAGACATTCACTCAAGCAATCTGGATAGAAACTGACAACAAGAACGCCACTGACATCGGTTGGCAGGCATATCTTGTAGTGTCTCCAACCAGACACAGTGAGGATCACGCGGTCCCCATCCTGGAAGGCGAGTAGCACCGACAGCATCCAAGCGTTTCGTGATCTCCTTCATACTCCTCTGCCAAGTCAAGGGTTGGCCACCTCTCTGTTTACGCCACTCCGAATTGGGCATGGAAAACAGCACTCTCTTCGGCAAGCGATGGTTCGGCATACGTAACACATGTCCCAACCAACGCAGCTTCTGGTGCTGGACACATTCTTCAATGGAAGTACCCGTTACACAACGGAAAACACGCTTTCCAACCTCCTCGTTACGGATTCGCAGACATCAACCCACGCGAGCTATGGTTCTGAGACAACGATTGTCGAACACCTGAAGACGCCTCAGGTCCGCTGCT